TTCTGAAGATACTTAAGTCGAATGTATGCTTACTGAGACCCTAGGCCATGGAGCCAAACAGATGGGAGTGTGACACTTAGTTCTACTACTTACTAAATGTCACCTTAGGTCAACTGATTTTCTAAGCCTCAATGTCCTCACCTGTAAATGTGAAGAGTGTATGTATCAAAGACCACTAAGAGGGGCGCCTGGGTGGCTCAGTGGTTAAAGCCTCTGCCTTCGGCTCAGGTCATGATCTCAGGGTCCTGGGATCGAGTCCCGCATCGGGCTCTCTGCTCAGCGGGGAGCCTGCCTCCTCCTCCTGTCTCTCTCTCTGCCTGCCTCTCTGCCTACTTGTGATCTGTCAAATAAATTAAAAAAAAAAAAAAAAAAAAAAAAAAAAAGACCACTAAGAGTACTCAGCAGCTAGCACGTGTGAAGAAGGGTGGTGTGTTTGCTTCACAGGAAGCACTCCAGCCTCAGCTGCGGGTTGCCATTACCGTTTCAGGTTTCAGGCATTTAATATTCTAAAGGTTAGAAGAACCCAAAATCATAGATCCACCCATAAAATTCCTTATAGAATAATAAGTAAAGAGAATAAGGATACTTAGCACATCTTGCATTTGGAATTGGTATGATTCCATTTAGCATCTCTAGTTCACTAGTCAACTTTGAGGATTTCTCTCCATGAGCTTCAGTTAGATGATGACAAATTTATTTTTGTTTAGGAAAACATTTATGAAGAATACTTTTTTCTCACAGCTAGTACTCCATACTAAAGTTTAAATATCCTTGGATTTTATGACACAGAACTACTGGATCCCACTTTGTGGATCCTACCCCACCCCCAAAGGTAAAGAACTCATGTGCGATGTAATTCAGAACCAATTCTGTTTAACCAACTCAACTTACCAGACCTTCATACCTTTAAAAGAGTTGATCCTCAAAAGACTTCCCTAACTCTCAGGGTTTTTATAGTCTCATCTACTGCTAATAACCTCATGCCAAGACCCAGCAACACAAAGGGGAGTCAGAAGTGGTTCTGTTGTCCATTCATCAATCCTATCATGTGGTAGATCCCCAAACTTCCCCCACCCAGACAACTCACACCACATGCATGCCCTCTCTGAATCATGTTGCTTCACCTTCCTCATCTAAGGGAAAACCTATTACTATTCTTTCTACTCACTTTCCAAACCACATAACTCCCCTTATTATTATATCCAAAAGAAGTGACATGGAATTCTCTATATAGAAGTGCAGCTTTTTATCCTAGAATTTTGTTTAAGGTTAATCCATTGAAGGGAAAGGAGGGGAATGGTATGTTCAGTCATCATTATACTATTCAAATGGTTGGGCAGAAAAACTAAACCTTAGGAGCCCTATTTCATAGCACTATTTTGACAAATTCATCAGTGTGTCCTATCCAGCCAAGAAGTAAATGCCCTAACTATATTATAACAATACTGAATAGGACCATTTAACCCTCTGTAGTACTAATTCCTTACTTATCCCAATTATCTCCAGAATGTTAATGAGAGCCACCTATATAAATATTTCAGAACATGAACTATTAGATTATATAATGACATCAGCCTAGATGGCTGGTACTTGAAGGTCATATTAGTAACTTCAACTCAATCCAGGTAAGTACTTTATTTAGTATTACATGAAACTAAACCTAGAAGAGTGGATTGGTTGATGTCTCAATTAACAACTTCACTTTTGAACTTAACTATTTTCTTCCCTACTTTAAAAACAGAAAATGAAATTAAAGAAAATTCAAAGGCCAGAGGCTAAATAATTGCAAACATATGAAATATGTCAGCAAAAGTAACATGCTTAAAATAAGCAAAATAAAGAACACTTTTGAGGAGATAGTTCAGGTAAATTCAGTCTTTGAGAATGTAAAGGGATTAACATGTCAAAATTAAGATTTTCAGGATAATTTTAGTCTACACCATTTAAATCCATCCAATCTAGATCTATACTTAATTTAAAGAATTTATAAATTGTTCAGTAAGATTCCTTAGCTATTTCCTTATTTTTTTCCTCAACCCTCCTCAGCCCAAAAGCCCTTTCTCTCTATCTTGGCATATTGTTAAGAACAAAGCAAGGTGAGGCCCAGGTGGCTCTGCCAGTTAAGCTTCCACTTCTTGATTTCAGCTCAGGTATCATAATCTCAGGGTTGTGAGATCAAGCCCCCATCAGGCTGGGCATGAGCTTGCTTAAGATTCTCACTCTCTCCCTCTGCCCCTCCCTCACCTCTCTCTCTCCGCTGTTTTTAAAAAAAAAAAAAAAAAACTTAAGATAATAATATAAATCACAAGAACTGTTAAGTACGTTGTAGAAACATGTAATTACAGGATAAATAACCTGCATCACAACCAACATTGTATCAACTTCGTTATCTATATTATCTAAACCTCAAATAGTTAAGAATAAGGTTTAAACATGCAATACTTCCTTAGTGAATACTTAGTCTTTTACTGTTTTTCACTTTATTCATATAATCTTATTCTATTTTTCCTTAACTCTTTACAGAAATTTTCTTGTTCCCATAAACTATTTTACTGCTAATATAGCTTTTCTGAAACAAGAGCTATGAAGATACGGTCTTCCCGTCTCTCCTCCAATCTCCAGTGCACCCAGCTTTCTGGCCTCTTGCAGCTTTTCTGTAAATGTTCAAAAACCTAGATTGTGTTTTAAAAATAGAAGGCACAAGAAAAAGGAATCTTCTAGCTTCAACAGCTATGAGAACTATCTGACCTTACTCTAGGAAATCATTTTGAGTTAAGCCAAAAAAATAAATAAATAAACCAGCAAACCTGCTGCTGTCCCCATCTCCTTCCAAACTTCAAATCTAGATCACTTTCACATAGGAATGAACAATATTCTGAATAATTTCTCTCTACTGCATGGGTATATGCACCGATAACCCTTGCTGCTACCACCTGAATGTACAACACTGGATAAAGGTGAGTGAAGTCCTAAAGGCCATCAGAACTTATCTACTCCAGGAAATATTTAAATATAAACTACCAGAATCATGAACAGAATACACTTTAAACCAATATAACTGAACACCAAGAAAAAAATAAGAATAATGACTTACTGTGCATCTCTAACAGTTAAGACACTAGACAATACCTATGTAATGGGTTTACATTTATTCATGTACAACTCTATTTGTTAATGTTCTTCTTCAAATTCTACAGACCCTTTCTCATTTGACTAACACCAACAGCGCTAAAACAAAACTTTGTAATCAAAATCTGCTTCTCCAGATTTTTTAAAGAGCCCAAAATACTACACTCTGACCATCACAAAAGGACATGTTCACATGCACATCAGTTCAATTTTTCCATCATTTCTGAAGTCACAGGCCTTCTGAATATGCACAGTTCCCCACATGGAACACCATGCAGTTCTAAGTTTTAGAATACAAGACACCGAGTTCCTCAAACCGTCTGTAACATTCCCTTTACTTCCCAATATATTAATCTGTATACAGCGACAAATGTCCTTTCCCTTTTTGGGGTACCTGATCAAGTCTAGGCAAACTAATGAGAGATAAAGTTACTTCTGTCACTTTGCCATAGCACTTTTTCCCCCAGGAACCACTCACCACTTCCTGGTCCCCTAAGTAGATGTACTAAAACTCCAAAACCACTTCCCCGTCTACCCCAATCCAGCCGAGCCTCTATGAAGAAAAAACTGACTGCAGTCATCTATATAAATGCCTTACTATTTGATACCCATTATTTGATACACAGTACTTTATTTTTTAGGTAGGCTCCATGCCCAATGTGGAGCTTGAACTCACAAACCTGAGATTGAGAGTCACATGCTCTACCAACTAAGCCAGCCAGGGCCCCTACACGGTAAATTACCTTTGCAATTTCAATTACTTTGTAAATCTAAACTCTGCTGGGCCATTCTTAGCTAGAAATTCCAAGTCTGGAGTTTCCAAAACCCACTAAGCACCAAAAGAAATTTGTAGAGAATCTACTATGTTCCGATGTATTTACTTAGTGACTTCAAAGCGCTCTTCATGTGGCTAAGTATACAATTCAAGAAAATGTAGGCAAAGAAATGGCTAAAATAAAGTGAAGGCACATCAGCAGACAAGGAATATTCTCTTTCCATCACACCTGCTTCATTACAAGATGGTCACCTCGGATTTGCACATAAAAAGGACTAGAAAGACATACTCCCAACTGGTAAGGGCTGGTCCCCTCATAGAAGAATCATGGGAACAGAGAAGTTACCTTTTTACTTACAGACTCCTAAACTGTTTAGTTTTTAATAATAAATATAATATTTACTTGCATTCTTTTTAAAATCCATAGAAAACAAAGATTACTCAATTTGACCAATGTGGGCAAAGATGGGAGGGAGGGACAAAAATTTTGAGATGAAACAGAAGATAAACGTCAACACTCGTGATTCTAATTGATAAAAATGCTTATTGCTTGCTTTTATAGTCTCAAAGCATTTTATCAACATGGATTATTTCCTGTAGCAGTTCTGGAAAGAATACAACCTGCCATATTCTAGCCCACCACAACATGAGTAATATGCAGAACCTGCTGCAGGTTAACAAAAACCCACTGCTGTTTCCCAGGCCTGGAACCCACAACTTGGTTAAGATGTTCAGTTAGGAATTTCAAATAACACTAACACAAATTTAAAATGACCAGCACATTCTGAAATGGTAATACCACTCTAATCAGTGCTAAACTTCACAAAATTGATTACTGAGTTCAGAAACGCTCAGATACTTAAAAATTTGAGAAAAGATCAGTGATATTGTTGAATAACATGGCTTAATGTTCCAATGCATTTGTATTCAATTAAAATTAGTACAAAAGCTAACTTCTCCTAACTTTCATAATTCTATAAGCACAAAGTGGGAAGAATTTAAAAAAAAATTTGACAGTTTACACACAATTGGTTTTAACTTAACACAGTTTATGCTTTATAGGAGTATTCCGTAGTTAACAAAATTAACTTTTTACCAGCTGACAATGGTAGGAGGTGCTAGTACCTTCAAAATATGCGCCTTTGATTCACTACCTGTCAAAACAAACAAAAAAAGACAAACATTACTACTTGTAGTCTAATCCATCAGAGCCAAATATCAACCTTTTCCTGGAGATACTTTTACTTCCAAAAACTCACAGAAAAATTTCTGTTTTTGAAAACATCATCTATCACACTAGCAAATGACATTTTATCATTAACCTTTCATCAAAAAAAAGCTTATTATGTATCCCTACACACCAATTAGAATAGCCAAAATCTGAAAATACTGGTACCACCAAATATTGGCAAGAATACAGCACAAGAGGAACTCATTAATTGCTGGTAGGAATGCAAACTGCATGGCCACAAAAACAAGTCTGACAGTTTCCTAGAAAACTGAACATATTCTTTACATTATGATCCAGCCTCCTGGATGAACTGAGTCCCCCTGGTATCTACCCAAATGAGCTAAAAGCTTATGATTAATTAAAAAAAAACTACATAAAAATATTTATATTGGCTTTATTCATAACTGCCAAAACTTGGAAGTAACTAAGATGTCCTTCAGTAGGTGAATGCATAAACTGTGGTCCATCCAGACAATGGAATATTATTCAGCACAAAAAGAAATGTGCTATCTAGCCACGAAAGACATGGAGGAAACTTAAATGCGCATTACTAAGGGAATGAAGTCAACACGAAAAGGGTACATATATTTTTTTATTCCAACTCTGTAACATTCTGGAAAAAGAAAAGCTATTGAGGACAGTAAAAGGTTGCCAAGCGTTAAGAAGGAAAATGGGATAACAGGCAGAGTACAGAGGATTTTGGGGGTGGCAGAACCATCATTACATATTTGTCCAAACCCACGGAATGTACAACACACAGAGTGAGCCCTCAGGTAAAACAAGGACTCCAAGTGATAACGGTGTTATCAGTATAGGTGCACTGACTGCACTATATGTAGCATTCTGGTGTGGGATTATTGATAATGGGGAGGCTGTGCATACTTTAGGTCAGAGGTATATAGGAATCTCCATGCCTTCTGCTCAATTTTGCTTTAAACTTGAAACTGCTCTAAAAAATAAAGTCTATTTAAAAAAAAGTTAAAAAAAAAAAAAAAAGTACATCCAAAACTCTGAAGGTACATATTGAGTTTCTTCTCTCATTATGGTAGTGGTCAAGAAGGATAATTACTAAGATTTATAAACAGTATTTCACTGTGTATAACACTTTTATCCAATAATCTCAATGATTTTTTTTTTAAGATTTTTATTCATTCATTTGACAGAGAGAAACAGACAGAGAGAGTACAAGCAGGGTGAGAGGCTGGGGGAGAGAGAGAAGCAGACTCCCCTGCTGAGCTGGGGGCCTGTCCTGCGGCTGGATCCCAGGACCTGGAGATCATGACCTGAGCCAAAGGCATACACTTAACCATCTGAGCCACCCAGGCGACCCGCAACGATTTTCACAATTGCTTGTGAAGTGGGAAGGTTTGTGGTCATTATAGGCTTAAAAAAAAATAATTTAACATCAGCCCAAACTCACAGGGTTTGTAACTGGACTTAACAGTTAAGTATTTTGACAAAATTTAGCATATCACTACTCATAATTAACTTCCTTATTCCCTGTCAAGGCAGCCAAATATACTTTAAAAAAAAAAAAAAAAAAAAGCATAGGCCTTAAAACCAGATAACCCTGGGTCTAAACCCCCCACTCTTTCTCATTTGTTTAGAGTCTTCTAAACAAATTCATTTGTTCATTCATCCATTTATCCATCTATCCATCCAGGTAGGGGAAATCTTACAAATTTACCTGCTATTTCATATGCCAGTTTCCTCATACATAAATAGGGATGACAATATATATATATATATACACATATATGTATATATATATATATATATATAATTCATATCCAGAATATTTGTTGAATTTCTATAAATAAAATACAACTCAGAAGAAAAAATAGGCTACGTATGTCCATGGGAAAAAACCTAAACACCCATTAACTATGAAATTGTCTCACTATTAAACACAAATGAAAACATTATCATTTCCCCCAAATTTTTTTATTAGAAAAAACAGGGCACCTGGGTGACTCAGTTGATTGGGCAGCTGCCTCCAGCTCAGGTCATGATCCCAGGGTCCTGGGATCGAGCCCCACATCAGGCTCCCTGCTCAGTGGAGAGCCTGCTTCTCCCTCTTCCCTCTGCCTGCCACTCTACTTGTGCTCTATCTCTGTCAAATAAATAAATAAATAAATTTAAAAAAAAAAAAGGAAAGAAAAAACATCACAAGTATTGGCAAGGATATAGGAAACAAGAGTGCTTTTGGCTTTGTTGAGGGAAATGCAGCCACTTTGGAGAGCAATTTGGCAGCAACCAGCAAAGCTGAGGATGTAAATTCCTATGACCTAGCAAACGCCTCCTAAAAAAAATTTGCCCTGGAGAAATTCTGGCACATGTGCATATTTTATTTTGTTAATTAACACGACAGGTCCTAGTATTTAACTGGCCCTTAATAAATGTTGAATCTCCTCAAAAACTAGTTAGTGAATGAATGCCTACTCGGCTCCATACCCAGTGCTTTCCACTCTGGAAATGTGTCCATAGGCCTCAAAAAGCTCCCAGGACCAAGTACTGAGATGACAAAAACTACTGGATAAGGAGATAGGCTTTATTAAGGAAACAGGCAAATGAGGTCTTCTGTAAGAAGGTAAAGAAGGCTGAGTAAGAACTGATTTATTTAACTCAGAACTGAGTGGATCCACAGATTTTTGGCAAAGGACACAAGAGAGGAAACCACAGGCAATTAAAATAGCATCTGTGAAAGCACAGAAGCACTGGAGAACTTAAGTACCTGAAAGCAGGCTGACAGATGACCCCAGAGGCATCAGGCCCTAAACCCTGGAACCAGCAAAAGTTACCTTACTTGAGAAAAGATCTTTGCAGATGTGACTGAATTAAGGATCTGGGGATGAGAGAGCAGTATGGGATTCAGCAGGTCCCTAAATGCCACCACAAGGATCCCTGGAAGAAAGGCAGATCTGACATTCCGAGAGGGCATGTGAGGACAGAGCAGAGCTGTTACCTGCTGGCCTCGAAGTCTGGACCCAGGCCACAGAATGCAGCAGGCCCAGCAACTGAAGAGGCAAGAACAGGTTCTTCTCTGGAAGGGGCAACACTCTGCCAACGCCTGATTTCAGCCCAGGAAACTTAAGGTCTCTTTTAACTGTAGGATAATCAATTTCTGTGGTGCTAAGCCACCAAATCTGCGGTGTTACAGCAGCTCTAAGAAGCAAAGGCAAGAGCTCACTGGCACTGCCCTCTATGCCATGCTAAGTGCTAAGTGGTTTAGATATTACCCAAATCTCTAAAGAGCCATCCAGATTTGTATGCAGAAGAGCCACCCCTCATACTGTTAAATCTCACGCCAGTGTGGGGAATTTATTGATGGAGGCGGCGGGAACTAGAAACAGAAAAATCAGAATCAAAAATCCAGAGAGAATATGAAGTTCTGGATCACCAGACATTTGACAAAAAAACCCATCACAATGAAAGACACAGATGAAAACTAATGTGGGGGGAACTCGATGGAAACAGTCGATGCAGGAAATACAAAGAATACTTTAAATACATGTGACTCATCTTCCAAAAGATAGGAGAGGCTATTAAATTGATGAAACAAAACTGGGGCACCATACAGGATTAAAAATAAGAAAAAACTCTTGGAGGCACCTGGGTGGCTCAGGGGGTTAAAGCCTCTGCCTTTGGCTCAGGTCATGATCCCAGAGTCCTGGGATCGAGCCCCGCATCGGGTTCTCTGCTCAACGGGGAGCCTGCTTCCTCCTCTCTCTCTCTGCCTGCCTCTCTGCCTACTTGTGATCTATCAAATAAATAAATAAAATCTTAAAAAAAAAAAAAAAGAAAAAGCTCTTGTTAAAATTAAGAAGAGCACCTGATATTAAATTTAAAAGTCAACAGATATATTAAGAAAAAAAGGCTGGGAGTATTTTCCCAAAAAGGAAAGCAAAATCAAAGAAGGAAAAAACAGAAATCAAAAAAAGATTTTTAAAAGTAAGGTTGTACCTGGGGGCAGAGGGCTATAGGGAGTCTGGGGCTCTGAGGGTTCCAACAGTCCAGGCTCAGCCACTCACCAAAGGCAGAGAGACAAGTGGTAAGGAAATAAGAAAGGAAATGTATTTCCGAAAGCCCACACGGAGACAGCAGGCTGATGTTTTAAAGACTGCCTCCAAAGTGCTGAAAATACTTCCAGGTTTATATAGGAAAATGTGGGACAAAGGTCAGTGTGTATATGCAGGTGGGCAGTAAAGGTCAGGTGGATCGTTGTCTTGGGATCAACCACACAGGTAGGTCTTGCTGGCTCAGGACAGTCCTTATTGCTTGAGAGGGTAGTTTCAGTTCCCATCAAGAGATGTTTTGTGCAAGGTCTTTTGCCTGAGTTAAAGAGATAAGCTGGAAAGAAAAACTTAATTAGAAACTTTAAGAACAAAATGGAAGTAGTCAAAGTCCTTTTTCAAGGTGCTGAATTAATCCAAAAGACCAAGAGTACAAGTTCCACTAAAAGGAGTTGTAGAAAGAACAAACAAAGAGAATGAAGAGGCAGAAATTACTGAAACACTCAGCAATAAAATATCCCACAGCTGATGGACGCTAGTCGTCAGACTGAAAGGGCCTGCAGAGTGCTAAGCAGATGAATGGGGGCAAAAATAACTTACCTCTAGACACAGCTTTGTGAATTCTCAGAGCACTCAGTTTAAGAATATCCCAAAAGCTTCAAAACAAAACAAAAACAAAAACAAAACTAGGTCACCTACAAATAAGTAAATTGTGTAACTGATCAATACATACACTTTACATCTCATAGCACCTGCTTTCACTCTGTAATTTGAAGTGTCCCACACAAACCTGGATGTACAGTCCCCCTTCCTATGAAGGAATAAGAATCATACTGGCCTCAGATGTCTGCAACCCTGGAAGGCTATCAACAATGCCTTCAAAGTTTTGAGGGAAATGAATTTTAAACTAGAATTCTACTTCTAAATTCCTGATGAACTGCCAAGTAGAATAAAGAAATACTCAGAGATGTAAAGACTCAGGAAATTCACATTTTGCAAACATACTCTGATGAGACTACCTTAAAAAGTCCTCCACCACGTGCACACAATGACAGTATTTTTAAAGACAATTTTATTAAAACTAGAACTGCCCTACACTTCTGTATTATTTTACAAGAGATAGATCCTACAGGTGAAGGGGTTAAGGGCTTAGTCCCGCAAGACTATTCCTCACTTGCTAGTCATGAGTCACCAGCTGGTTACAAACCAGGGATTTCCACAATCTCCTCAAATTCAATAATTTGCAAGAATGGCTCACACAACTCAGGAACACCCATTACTTACGTTTATTGGTTTATTATAAAGAATACAGCTCAGGACAGCCCAAGGGAAGATATGCCTAGGGCAAGGGATACAGGGAGTAGGAGACACAGCAAAACTTCCAAACCCTCTCCAGGTGTGCCGTCCCAGCACCTGGCCCAGGTCACCAACACGGAAGCTCAACAAACTTCGCCGTTCATGAGTTTTTATCTCCAGCCCCCTCACTCCTCATAGGAGGTTGATGGGTGAGTCTATAAGTTTTTTTAATATTTTATTAACATATAACGTATTATTTGTTTCAGGGGTACAAGACTGTGATTCATATATTTTGAGACTATTTTTGTGTGTAGTGTAAGGAAAAGGGTCCAGTTTCATTCTTCTGCATATGTCTGTCCAATTTTCCCAACACCATTTGTTGAAGAGACAGTCTTTTTTCCATTTGACTTTCTTTCCTGCTTTGTTGAAGATTAGCTGACCGTATAGAGTTGAGGGTCCATTTCTGGGCTCTCTCTATTCTGTTCCACTGATCTATTTGTCTGTTTTTGTGCCAGTACCATACTGCCTTGATGATTACAGCTTTGTAACAGAGCTTGAAGTCCAAAACTGTGATGCCACCAGCTTTGCTTTTCTTTTTCAATATTCCTCAGGCTATTCAAGGTCTTTTCTGGTTCGATACAAATTTTAGGATTATTTGTTCCACTTCTGTGAAAAAAGTTGATGGTATTTTGACAGGGATTACATTAAATGTGTAGACTGCTCTAGGTAGCATAGCCATTTTCACAATATTTGTTCTTCCAATCCATGAGCATGGTATGTTTTTCCATTTCTTTGTGTCTTCAATTTCTTTCATAAGTGTTCTATAGTTTTCTGAGTACAGATTCTTTGCCTCTTTGGTTAGATTTATTCCTACATATCTTATGGTTTTGGGTACAACTGTAAATAGGACTGACTCATTAATTTCTCTTTCTTCTGTCTTGGTGGTGGTATATAGAAATACAACTGATTTCTGTGCACTGATTTTATATACTTCTACTTTAGGGTCTTTAACCTTCTAATCGCTGGGTCCTTCTGGTGACCAGCCCCATCCTGAGGCTATCTAGAGAACCCCAACCTAAGTTGTTCATTAACATAAACTCCAGATGTTATCAAAGGATGTATTTATGAATAACAGAAGACTCCTATCACTTGGGAAATTGCCATGATCTCAGGAGCTCCCTGCCACTAGTGGGGACAAAGACCAAACATATTTTTGTATTACACCCAGGATTCTGTTATTCTCTATATTAGCAGTTTAACTGGGAGGGAAAGGTGTGATCATGTCAGTATATGCATTTAAAAAAAAAGTATCCGGAGCTCCGGGGTGGCTCAGTTGGTTAAGCAACTGCCTTCAGTTCGGGTCATGATCCTGGAGGCCCCAGATCCGAGTCCCACATCGGGCTCCCTGCTCAGCAGGGAGTCTGCTTCTCCCTCTGACCCTCTCCCCTCTCGTGCTCACTCTCTCTCTCTCTCAAGTAAATAAATAAAATCTTTAAACAATAATAGTAATAACAATAATATGTATGTTTAAATAAATAAAAAAGTATTAAAGGAAAGTACCAATTATCAACATTTTTTTTTTAAAGATTTTATTTATTTGACAGACAGAGATAACAAGTAGGCAGAGAGGCAGGCAGACAGAGAGAGGGAAGTGGGCTCCCAGCTGAGAAGAGGGCCTGATTCCAGGCTGGATGCCAGGACCCTGAGATCATGACCGGAGGAACCAAAGGCAGAGGTTTAACCCACTGAGCCACCCAGGCGCCCCACAATTACCAACTTTAAAAGGAATTTCATACTCACAGACAAAAGAAAACTTCTTTAACTTAATATATCAGAAACCAATACCAAATACAAAAGATATTTTACAATTAAAGTAATATATATCAGAAACCAACACCAATTACAAAAGGTAATTTCGATTAAAGGCAGGAAGGCCAGCTGTAACCATCATTACTGGATTTTGTTAAGAAGGCTCTAGCCCTTATGACCATTAGCCACATGTAGCTACTGAACACTTACTTGGAAGTATGTCCAAACTGTGCTCTAAATATAAAATATACATAGAATTATAAAGCCTTAGTATGGAAAAAAATGTAAAACATTGCAATAATTTTTATGTTGATTATATGTTGAAATAGTATCTTGGTTACAAGTAGTCCCCCCCCTTATGGGGGGGGGATACATTCCAAAACCCCGAGCAGATGCCTGTAACCACAGATAGTACTGAACCCCGCAGACACTATGTTTTCTCCTATACATACCTATGATAAAGTTTTATTTATAAATTAGCACAGGAAGAGATTAACAATGTTAAAAAGAAAAATACAAGCCTGAAATGGCATCACTTAAGCCAAATCACTGTACATAGACTTAATACCTAATCTTGCAGTTTCAACCTCCTCAAGAAATGTAGTCTTAATGAGTCAGTCAGGAATTTTCTGATCCCCATCAATGAGGTATGTCATTGGGGCATTCTCCACACACCCCCAAAGAAAGAGGAGTTAATCTGTGTAAGACTCCCTGCCATCTCCATAAGGGAAGGTGATTTTCAAAAGAACAATCCTCTTCTATTGTGCATAACTTTCTCACCACACCCTCTTCCACCTTCTATGACTCCTTGGATCTCCCCTCTACTTGCTAGATGGGATGCTGGCCAAGTCATGATCATTTAATAAAATCCATTAGGTCTTCAAATTTACCTGGATGGATTTTGTTTTTAAACAGCAGTAATAGAACAATTTTAACAATATACTGTAATAAAAGGTCAACTATACGGCAATTAAAATAAAAAACTTAATAAAAAAGTTATATGAATGTACTCTCTTTCTCAAAACATTTTATTGTACTGTACTCCTCCTTCTTGTGATAAGAGACAATAATAAAAATGCCTAGGGGATTAGATGAAGAGAGGTGAAGGAAGTGGATGTTGTGAAGCAGCCTTAGGCTCCTGCTAACCTTCTAAGGAAAGGACAGGAAAAGAGGAGCATTTGCTTCTGGACCACAATTGACTGAGGATAACCAAAACTACAAAGAGAGAAACTGCAGATAAGGGGGTACTACTGTATGCTGGATTAAATAAAATATATTCAAGTTACTTGTTTCTTTTCACTTTATTTAATATGCCTACTAGAAGTTTAAAGTTATATATATGGCTCATTATTTGTTCCTCTCATTGCATTCCTTTTAGAGAACACTGCAGGAGAAAAAGAAACAGCATGAATACTGGAAAAGGAGAAACAGAATCTTCATTATTTGCATATGATTGCCAATCTGACAAGAAATCCAAAAGAATCATTTGAAAGCTATGCAACCAGAGACAGAATTCACTAAGACATCTGGATACCAGGTAAATAATAAAAATCAATAGTTCTTCTATATACCTGTATAATCAGTTAAAAAATGAAAAGACGGGGGTGCCTGGCTGGCTCAGTCCATAGAAATGAAACTCTTGATCTTGGGGTCATGAGTTCAAGCCCCAAGTTGGGACTAGTTTATATTTAAAAAAAAAAAAGAAAGAAAGAAAGAAAAGTGTGGCTCAGTTGGTTGGGGGTCCAACTCTTCATTTCAGCTCAGGTCAAGATCTTGGTGTTGTGAGATGGAGCTCTGTGCTGTTCTAGGTGTGGAGCCTACTTGGGATTCTCTCTCTCCCTTTCCCCCTCTGCCCCTCCCCCTTTAAAAAATGAAAACAGAGAAGATCTTAGTCACAATAGCAAAAGCAACTTTAAAATACTTAATACACACAACATCTTGCTTAAACATATGTAGGTAGAGACGCCTGGCTGGCTCAGTCAGAAGAACATGCAACTCTTGATCTCTGGGTTATGTGTTTGAGCCCCACATTGGGTACAGGGATTAGTTAAAATCTTTTAAAAAAAAAACAATGAACATATATATGTAACTATGAACGTACATGTGTAAAAAATGCTACTGACAGACACTAAATTAAAAGACAGACTAGTTCTTGAGTAGAAAAGATTATAATTCTGCCAAAATTCATCTACAAACCAAATACAATCCAACTCAAAATCCTCATAGGACTTTATTACTTGTTTTGTGTGATCACTTGATAGTAATTCCGAAGTTTATCTAGAGGAAAACATTTTAAGATTTGCTAATAAAACTTGAAAACAAGAATACTTAATGCATACTTACCCTATTAGATGTCAAAAATAACACTAACTGTTCTGGTACAGAATTTTAAAACCAGAAAACTGTCACGGGATTTTTGTATTGGACCATAGTGGCATTTCAGATCAGTGGTTAAAAGATTATTAAGTTAAGCAGCATTAAAGAAAACTTGGAACTGAGCCAATGGGTGGATTTAAATCTTAGAAAGATGAGGAACAGATCTGTGAAACGA